ATCTTCGAAACAGTCTAACGTATCATCACCGAAATCAAAATAACAGTATTATCATAGCTACAAAAGGACCTTAGATACTTAATCTAATGTTATTTAAAGAGATGTACTCCTAATTAGTTCTTCCTTTTTTTGCTTATTTTCCCTATTTTTTACTTAGTTTTTCTGTGCTGAATGGGTCGGTCCATTAGGATCGCTTTGGTCAGACGATATTATACAGCAATAAAAAGAAAGAAACTAAAGGCATCTAATGGAGGTCATATAATTGTCCCGATAATTTACAGTACGGCTACGACCTAGATAGAAATAAAGTCAAATCAGTTTGATTTCATTTAACTGAATGTCTTTTTCATGAAGTATCGTGTTACTCGTGCCAATTTCAAAGAGACTTTTTCTAAAAAAACAAACATATCAATTGATGAAATTCATTCGATCGTTCAACTGTTTGACTGATGCTCATACAACAAAAAACGAGTAAACTATCTTTTGTGGACAATGTGTACGATGTGTTGTATTTCAAAAATCGTGAAAATACTTCACTTTTGTGAATAAAGATCATTGGTTTGATGTTCAAATCTTAGATTTCGATTGAGTTCGTTGAGATTCAAATTGTTTACTCGATACTTCTACATCATTAATAAATTCTATTAGAAGCTCTCGAAAACGCTGCTATATTAGCTTTCTAAGAGTGAAACTTATCTATTCCACTATCATAATTCTCGGTGAAATGTAAGCATTATAAAAGTTACTCTGTTTGATATGGCTTGTGGTAGGGCTATTTTACATATAAGAGCCACTTCAATCAAGACTATCGATTGCATATGCTGAACATTCTAAATCGGAACTTTCTTGAAATCACCTTCTGGTAATTAAAATGCCTCATTTTCATGTCCCGTTATTTTTTTATTGTTTGAAGCTACTCTTGACATTCAGTTTTGATTTTATCACAAGTCTAATAGCGTTGGAAATCAAATATACTCACGTAGTAAGTGATGCTAAAGTGTGCAAGTTTTGTTTTGTGCGGTTTAATGAAGCATGATATTTTCATCAGATAGGCAGGTTTTTTTTCATGAATGTGCTCATCACCACGTGTATTAGTTCTTTCAATGTTCTGCCTCTTTTTTTTGCTTTTCTTCGCATTTTGTGTTGTTACAACGAGAAAATATACACGGATATTTGCACACACGAACGCATTACACTTGAATCATGAAACTTCTCTCTCATGAGTAAATAAAACAGTAGTTGTCCAATATAAGGGTGAGTGTGGGTGCGGCTGTTCGGATGATAGCCTTCTCTTGAACAACAACAACACGTACAGACATACCATCAACAAAATCAGAGTGTAACGGTGAAGGCGATATCATTCTGATCATATTACACCAGGTATCTTTCGAAGCGAGCAGTTTTTGACAATAAACCTTGCTATCTAATTGACTGCGATTCATATGTCGTCTGCATTTTCATATGGTTGAAAGACCAAATATCTTTCAAATGTTTCTGATTTGTTGGATTTTTTTAGATCATGCTAATATCGAAGAATAGATATTCTACGTTACATATATAACTTGACTCATTTAAGCCGGATAAAATCACTAGAATTCTGTTCTATTTTCTTAAATTCTTTGAATTTTTTTGAGCTGTCGATTTCTGAATCGCAGATATATTGGTATATTTTGTCACATTTCTTAAGAATTATAGTGCAAAAAACATGATATTATTCATCTCTGATAATTTATCGAACAAGTAAAAACAAAAGCAACAACAAACATACGACAAAGATATGAGAACTATAAGGACTCTATTAATTTTTTTCTCGTATGTAAATTCAGTAATCAATAGAAGTGATCGGTACACATTCAAGAAGTAGTGTATTAAATTTTGCTTTCACATATACATAAATGTTTCTAACATTAAAAGAGGCGAGATGAAATGAATATCGTAAGTCTATCATTACTTTCACCCTAGCTAAATTATTATTTTTTTTCATTTATCAATGGGATACGTAGTTGGACTTATCTCAAGTAATGTATAGACGCAAAAATCTTTCTTTTCTTTTCTTTTCTTTTCTATGGTAAGAATAAAAGAATAACATCATCATTTAAGTAAACGATTAGTATCTTTGTAAATACAGAAGTTCATCGCGCGAAAAAAAGTTGTCGATGATGTCGGCATTGATTGATGAATACATTATTATATTGGATTTTTTCTGAAAGTTCAAATATCAAGAGCACGAGAGATTTACAAAGAAGTACATTGACAACGAAGAAAAAGAATATCCTTCTAATATACTTCTATTATTGTTGCCATTCTTTTTCGTTCATACACGTATATGTAGTGAGTGACATCAATGTGAAGGTAGAATGTGTAAATAAGTGGATATTGAAAAAAAAAGCAAGGTTACATTTTTTTTTTCTTTCTCTCTGCTTGATTACATTTCATCAAGGGCATTTTCTCACTATCTATCTCTCAAGTTTATAACAAATTGGCAAGCTTCAATGGATAAGAATATGCTAAAATCAATCCAATACTGTTCATAAGACTCTAGGAACGTTTTCTTTCCATGTTTTAAGAATCAGTTCTCAAGAGATTCCATGTTTTTATCTGACAAGAGTCATTTAAAATTTTCTCATAATTCACAGAGAAGTGAAAATCGATACTAAGATATACGACTGTGACATTGTACTACGAATTGTTCGAAAGTTTTCTTAGCTGTGAAAATGTTTACATTGAAGAATAGAAGACGATGATAATGGAGAACAAATTTCTAAGAAATAGGAAAAAATTATTTCTGAAACTTAAACTTCAGATAGAGAAATTTCAGAACTCTAATACTTAGCTTTTAACTAGTGAGTATATTGATGATAATGCAGTTGTTCTGTTTACATCTCTAGATAAAAATGATCGATAGATTTCATATTTCAATCAGCTAATACTGCTACTCGGAAACATCGGTAGAGTCGAACTTGAAACAGAGTTCATAAGCAATCAGTATCAACTGATTGGTTAAGATGAACTCAAAAAACAATCGACGACTATTCAGTAATGAATAAAAAACTCATGAATGACAGGCTATCCCTCTATTTTTGATAGAATTTTGGAGGAAATAAGGTGCTAACATGGTATCTTCAACGGAAGTTTACATCGGAGTCAACCATAGTAGCCGATATGAAGCATCAACGTATGAAATACCATTTACATATAGGTAGAATATTCTCTACTAATGTATGTGAAACTGCTACAAACATTCATTTTTGAATGAGATATGATTGTTCTTCTCTAATTAGAAAATCTTCATGTACTATTGAAGCTTTTAAAACATTGGAAATTATCCTAGAGAAGTGTGTCATTTAGATGATTATATATACCGTGATTTCAATGTACAAAACAGATTACTATTAAACTTTTGTTCGAGTAATAATTTGTTGATATTCGATACCGTTTTACTTCATAAGGTCATTGACAAGAACACTCGGCATAGGGCAGGTGAATCGATGTTTTAATAACTACTGATCGATGTCTTGAGTCTTTTACAGATGAATGTCACAAAACCTGTAATCAATGTTTGTTTCTTTCGGATAGAAATCAAATGAAAAAAAGGATGTGGGTATCTGGAGTGTGAGTGTGAATTCATGCACCTAATGATCACACTCACATCCACACCCATACCCTATTTTAATTTTCTTTTACAAGCATTAAGTTGTTATACAAACTCCACACAAGTAGGTCCTGCTGATTCTACTGGCAGTGAACTTTATTCATTTATCATTCACTCTACCACCAAAAATTAGTCACAATGAGTAACAATCTGGTGGCTTATATTTCTGTTCAACGACAAATATTCATTTTTAACGAGCACGTTTTGACAATCGGTTGAATACGAATTTTACTACATAACCTACCACTTCTTCCTTGTCTTACTTCACCACTGTTGAAATTGTTGAGTGTGTGAGTTGACCAATTATAGTTGTCCCTTTGCCAATTCCGATTCTAGTCGCAACAAAGTGCTAAGTGTGTTCGATGGGTCAATCAATAATAGTATACCGATGAGTATTAAAATACTAGCAAACATGGATCTTGTGATATGAATAGTTAGGAAAAAAAAACAGGCTACTATGGTTACAACAGTGACATACGAAAATACAATTGTTTTACATTTTGAGTGTTTATATAGTTGTGTGAACGTCAAATTCAATTTTTCTTACTTAAATATACAAAGAAATTACTTGATCAATCTCATCTTCACTATTCGTCTATCTTCTTCTATAGATTTATATTAGCCTACGTCTTGAATTAAAAAGACGAATTATCGAGTTATACGATCCTTACCTTTCTATTGATAGAATATATCACTATACATCATTGTATCATATTTAATTCTTCATCTTCTTTTCTTTTTAAATATAGATTGTTGTCTATTATTCTATTCTTCTCTCAACTCAAGTAGTTTTATAACACATAAGTTCTTTAGTTTTTCAACAACATACAAAGTTTTTAAATCTATAATTGTTGAATATACATTGCAGCAATCGTTTAGATTTAACCTATATCAATACTACTACTTCGAATCATGAGTATATCGAATAAGCAAAGACTAATCCTATTCGGAAAATATTCAATGTCTTTATATATTTGTTCGTCGAAAGATGTCACTCATTGTCAATTATTTTGTTTTTGAGAGGTTCAAAAATAAACCCAATTGGTAGACAAAAATTTGTCAATCAACAATTTTATGTTTTCTACGACGCGACGTGTCCCTTCGGAGTATCTTACTGTACTGAGTAATCGACGGGCTGTGTATGTTTATACTTATAGAAAAGAGAGAGAGAGAGAGAGAGCGAACGAAAAAAAAAAGAAAGAAAAGAATGCATCAATAGAAATTAAGAATATAGAACAGAAAAAAATAACAAGTAGCTCTATTATTCTAAATCAAAATGATGGCTTCTTCATCGATACTCAATCAACCTAAAAATAGATAAATATATTTGTCGATTTATAGTTTATTTATGTATTTATTTATTTCAGATTTTGCAATGAGCACCGAAATCAAAGATAATAACGATATTCATTCCAATGATGAAATTAATCAAGATAACAATGAACTATCACAGGAAATCGATCAACCATTATCATCTGAAAATGACGAAGAAGAAGAAAAAATAATTAAAGAATCATCTATCGATAATAAACAAGAAATTGAACCATCACATTTAACATCAAATAATGATGAATTTCCATTAGAAACTCCATCTAATGATACTATCAATGAAAAAGAAGATGATTCAACAGCAGCAATTGTATCTGAAGAGAATTCATTAGCTCTGCCTGTATCTGAAGAGAACTCATTAGCTTTGCCTGTATCTGAAGAGAACTCATTAGTAGTACCAGGATTTGAACAGGATGATAATACAGCTGGTGATACTATTCAATCAGAATCATCAAATCAATATGATAATACTCATCAACTTTTACAAATTATAGCTGATAAATCGAATAAAGAAGCATCTTTAACAATATTAAATACAGTAAGATTAGAAATTTTCTATAGTTTATTATTATTTTTTATTTTTTTATTTTTTAGCTTGTCGAAGGTGATTTTGATTTAGATAAAAATTATATAATACAAAAACCAAAAAATTTACATGAATTATTTTCTATATTTAATAAAATGTCACCATCATTACAAGCTGAAATACTTAGTGTATTAATTGGTATAATGCGTAAAAGTGAACGTAATTTATTAGCATCAATTGATGCACAAATATATGAAAAAACATTAGAATTATTAAATAAAATTGATGATGATGTTGTTGCTGATTTATTAGTTGATATTCTTACAGTTTTAACATCATTAACAATTAATGTTAATGAACTTAAACTTCTTTTACATTATCTTAAAACAGAAAATCGAATATGGGTATGAAAAAAAAAATTTTTTTATGTTAAATTTAATGTTTTTTTTTTTCTTTTTGTTTAAAAATTATAATTTTAGAAAAAACATGCCGTTAAATTATTAAATATTTTTAAAAATCTTCCATATCGACATGGACCTGATGAATTTTTTAATTTTCCTGGTCGAAATGGTTCTGGTATTATTTTACCACCAATTAAAATTTGGCCATATCAAAATGGTTTTACAATAACAACATGGTTTCGTATTGATCCTGTTGCAAATGGTGTTATTGAAAAAGAAAAACCATATTTATATTGGTTTTGTACATCAAAAGGTCATGGTTATACAGCACATTTCGTTGGTAATTGTTTAGTTATATCATATTCAAAATTAAAAGAAAAAACTTTTCAACATTGTATACAATATGAATTTAAACCACGAGAAGTATGTATTTCAATGATTAATTTAAAGATTTTAATATTAAAAGTTCTACTTGAATAAAAGATTTTTTTTTTAAAGAGAAGTTCAGTATGCTTGATTATATGTGTAGAACTATAATCGAATACAATAAAAATTCTATTCAAAATTAGAATAGAATTTAAGATTTATTAGAAAAATTTGTTTTGAATTTTTTGTACAAACTATTAAATCTTGTTCATTTTTAAAAGTTAATATAACTTTTAAGAAGTTCATTATTATTTCATACAACTCTTTGATGATTATATACATATCACAATCTAGGATTGATATATGTAATATTCAAAGAGTTGTATGAAATAAAAAAAATGAAATTTACACGAATTCAATTTATTGTTTCATATCGACAATTCGAAATTTAGCGGAGAAAATTTTTTTTCATGATTGGATCGAGTTCGTTGCATTATCTCTAAAAAATTTTGTTTTGTGACATATTCAAACAATATTTTTATAGTGAAACGTAAATTTAAAAAAAGCTCATAAAATTGTAACACCTCAAGAGCATCAAGTCTCAATATTTATCAGAATTTTTTAAAAATTTATTATATTAGTATGGTAACAGAAATATTACTTTGTATTCAGAATTCTTGATCATGAAAATTTCAATTCCGAAAGAAATGAATATCATATTTATAATCAATACAAAAAATTTGCATCGAATCGTATACTCAATACTTGAAACTAATATTCGTTAAATTTCGACCTTGAGGGAAATACAAAGTTCGAGTATTCGAAAATGATAGCGAAACGAACGTAATGACCGAAATTGGACAAAAATTAGATTCGATGCAGGTTGTTACGCTAATTCTGAATATGATATTCGTTTATAATGTTTTGCTATCTTTTCGAAATAATTTTTTTCCTAAAGCTTTACCTACTAAAAAAATACCATTTGAATATGTTACAGGATAAGATTTTTAAAATTAACTTAACGAACTCGATTCAATAAATTTGAAATTATTTTTATCTTACATTAATTTATATTTATTTATTTCTTTTCTAGTGGTATATGATAACATTTGCACATCAATATCAACGATGGGGTAAAAGTAGTATATATTGTTATATAAATGGTCAACTTGTATCAAATGCACATTTTCCTTGGAGTATTGAAAGTGGTGATATATTTGATAAATGTTATATAGGTTGTACACCTGATCGTCATGATTTAACAAGTTTTTCTGGTCAATTATCAACATTTTATTTATTTAGTATATATTTAGAACCATTAATTGTTCAAGGTTTATATAAATTAGGACCAGCATATAAAAATCAATTTAAATTTGAAAATGAAAGTGCACATGTATTATCTGATTCACAAAGAAAAGCAATGTATGATGGAAAATTAATGAGTTCAATTATATTTAATTATAATCCAATTGCATGTGAAGAAAAACTTGTTTTACAAGCTGCACCAAAAACAAATGTATCATATTTTGTTCATACAGCACATGCACAAATGTTAAGTAATGTTCGATCTGTAATAACATATTCAATTTATTCAACATTACATAGTGTTGGTGGTATACAAGTATTTTTTCCTTTATTTGGACAATTAGATCATCAACAAATTGATGGTTCAATTAATTATAATGTTTGTTCAATACTTTTATCGACTTTATGTGAATTAATTGAACGATCATATACAATTCAACATCAAATGCTTAATTCAAAAGGTTTTCTTGCAATTGGATGTCATCTTGAAAAGGTATGAATTTAAATTTATTTAATACAAAAAAAAAACAATAAACTATGTATATACAAAAATAATATGTGGACAAGAATATAATTCTAAATATTGATTCTATGACAAAAGTTAAAGATAAATAATGATGATAGTTGTATTGAAAATAAAACAAGAAAACAAAGGCTTCAAGGACAATTTAATATATGTGTTAAATAAACAATGATATATCCTTGAAATAAGAATGAAATAGTATTCGTTGTTTTTTACTCTTAATTAAATGTCGTTTTGAATAAAGAAAATATAGAAATATAGGAAAAAAGAATTTTTCAAATGTTCTAATCTGATTATTTCTGAATGATTGAGATGAGATTCATTGAAAAACTACTATAAAAGTGTAGCAATAAACTAAAGACATGAACGCTTTTCAGGATATTCATAGATCATTTGTATCTATATAGTGTCTCGACTTAAAAGTGATCTATCACTTGGAAAACTTCCATCGTCAGTTTAATGTTTTCGAAATTAATTTGTTCAAAATTTTTGTTTTTTTGTATTGCTTTTTAAATTCGACTATTTATTTTGATTAGTTTTTCTCGACTATTGAGAAACTTTCAACAAATAAAAAATAAGTTTGATCACATTAAGTAAATTATTTTGAGACAAAAGAATATCTAAAAAGATTTGTGCATAAAAATCTTTCTTGTTGAAGGATGAATAATATGATCATTTTTTTCAATATAATGCCATGATCGCTATTACATTTTTTACAAATTCAAATTTTGTATAAAATTTTTTAAGGGAATGAATTCATTGTGAAAGGATCAAACTTTCTAGTGTTGCCTTTATCAGCTTGAAAAAACGCGGACATCTAGGAATGTTCTCTTCTCAAAAGGACTAATCCAATAAGTTATGATTTATCATTTTACGAGGTTGTGTCGTCAAGCAATTAAGAAATTCGATTCTAATTTCCGAAGAAATATTGTTAAAATATTTTTATAAAAAGGAATTTTATTCTTTTTTGTTTTTTAGGTATCAAAACAACATATTAATATGACTGTTCTCAATTCTCTTATATCATTAACAACATTTTTTGTTAAAATTGAAAGCAAAAATAGTCCATTATTATTGAAACAATTATTTATTCATATATTTTTTAATCCTGTTATATGGATTTATTGTTCAGTTGATGTATTTTTTTGATTTCATTGACGTAAAAAAATTGTTGTAAATAAATTTTTTTTTTTTTTTTGTAGGTTCAAATGCGTTTATATACATATTTAGCAACAGAATTTGTTACTTATTCAGAAATCTATCATTTAATTCAACCAATAAGTGAAATAATTCAAACATTACATACATTAAAATATTTCTATTGGATTATTGATCCAAGTCATCGAAGTGGTTTTAAACCAAAAGGTTCAGGTATATGAAAATTTTGTTTTTTTTTTCTTTTGCATTAAATCAAATTTAATAATAAATTTTAGATGGAAATCGACCAACACGTGAACAAATTATTGAAATGAGACGTTATATGTTACTCTATTTAAAACAACTTGTTATAAGTAGTTCAGGTACACAAGAAGAAGAACTTCAAGCAATTATTAATTATCTTCATACAGTCCATGAAGTAAGAGATGATAAATATTTTTCGAATTTTTATTTAGAAAATTTGGATTATTCTTTTTTTTATTTATTAGGATGATAATCTTATTGATGTATTGGATATGACTGTAAATCTTATGTCAGAACATCCAAGAGCAATGGTACCTGCATTTGATCGTCGACAAGGATTAAGGTAGGATTAGAATTGAAATTTTGTTTTTTTTAAATTTTATTTTTCTTGTAGAACGGTTTTTAAATTATTAGCAAGTAGTAGTGAAGTAACACGTTTACAAGCTTTGAAATTATTAGGATTCTTTCTTCAACGAAGTACAGTAAAGTATGTAAAACATTCTAATACGATGGGTTAAGAAAACTAATTTCACAAAATGTTCGTTCATAGTTTTAGTCTCTTAAAGAAATCTGCAGAAATTTGAAAACATTGGATTTAAATCAAAATTTTATATTATTTTCGAATATAGGTTCAACATTTCTCAGAAACTTCTGGTTTAGAAGTTATGAGTCCACCTTTTATAGAGGCAAAAATTTGATCTATTTTTCATACAACGTTAAAGGCGGAATTGTTCTCTACAAAGTGATATAAGAATTACGAGTTTGAGAACAATCGTTCAGGAATGGTCAAACTCACGTAGGCGAGCTGAAGTTCGTCTAAACTCAATTTATCAGCCTTGCAAAAGTTGGTTCATAAATCTTCAACCAGAAATCATATTCTAAAAGAATACAAAATTCTGATACTAATCTAATGTATCCAAATTTCTATAGGCTTTTTTTAAGAAGCTATAAAAATGAACAAACATCTTGGCGAATTAATTTTTGATAATCTGTTACATTTTGAAAAAAAAAATCTTTATTTTTGATATTTAAAGACGGAAAACTGATGCAATGCAACCACATAATCTATTTTCATTATTGGCTGATCGACTTTTACTTCATCCAAATAGTTTTACAATGGCTACTTATAATGTTCTATTTGAAGTAAGATACAAAATTAATAAATAATCTCAAAAAATAATTTGAATTATTAATAGATACTTGTGGAAAAAGTAAGCGGATTAGTTGTTGAAAAACGAACTTCTGAAATTACAGCGGATTGGAAAATTGAAAATCCAGGTAAATTATTTTTAGAAATAAAATTGAACTATATATAAAAGAAAACATCTAATGATATTCTATTAATTCCTATAGTCCGAATTCGACGAACGAGAGAATATTCTCAAATGTTCTCTTCCGATTTCAATGGGTTTTTTTGCACATAGTGTTCTAATAAAAATCCTACACGGATTTAAGTTCCGATTGAGGTTTGACTAAGCTATCGAATTTTTTTCTAGAGGCTCCAGATTTTCGAAAAACTCGTGTTTTCGAATTTAGATCTGAAGCTTTACGCATATATAGAGAACTCTATCAGATTAGTTCCCGTAAAACAAATTTCAGAAGTTTTGAACAAAGTTTCTTCGAGATACGAAAGTTTTCAAACATAGATCCTTTTCCATGAATAATGTATACCAGAGATGAAACCGATCTGAATTTTGGACGATCAGTATCGGCACCGGTCCAAAAAGATCAGACCGGACCGGCCGGCCTACCAGTAATGAATGATATATCAATAATTCACAGTACTAGAAAGAGAGTAGTTTAGATATGCAAAATTTGGTTTATCACGTAACAAACTTGATATACCAAGTTATATCATATACTTGACATAGGAATAGAACCGGTCTGAATTTTTGGCGACTGGTGCCGGTACCAGTCTGAAAACATCAGATCTGGCCGATGCGGCTGGTCTACGAATTACCGGCAAATCGACCGATCTCAAATTCGTACTAGCACCGGATCGGCTGGTAACCGATACCTTTCCATCTCTGGTGTATGCAACGTGCGTTTTTTGAAAGCTTCACATCTCCAAGAGACTTTGTTCAAAATTTCTGATTTTTTTTTTTAATGAAAGCTACTTTAGTTGAGTTTTCTAGATGCGGAAACTTTCAGATCAGAATTCGCAAATACGAGTTTCTTGAAAATTTGAGGCCCTTAATAGATGGACATATTAAAAACTCCATAGCTTAGTCAAATTTCAATTGGAACTCAAATTCTTTTAGAGTTTTTATTAGAACACTATGTGCAAAAAATCATTGAAATTGATAGGGGATATCTAAGTATGTTCTCTCGTCAGTGATTTTTTTTTACAGATATGATTGTTAATTTCATTTGATATAAAATTTAATCTTTTTGATGAATAGAAAAAATTTGAATCCTTTCACGGCGATGTGAGCCAGTGGTGGCTCACAGTATATTATAACTAGGAAAATGATGAAAAAGTAGATTTTCTTCTTTTTTTCCTAAACAGGAATGGGCAGTTACTCCATCTTTGTCACTGGTTGATCTATTTTATTATTTAGAGAAATGATTTTCATTAAAACAATCAAGATAAAAGAATTTGTCACAGTCAGGACAGAAGGTTTTTACTCTCTTTGCTGCCATTGCACTTGCTTCTCTTGATTGTTGTTGCCTAATCTTCTCATAACAACCAACACATCGTTTTCAGATATCGCGTGCAGATCCTTCCATTTCTTCGAGCTGGTGATCCGCGAGCTTGCGCTTCATTTGGCTTGTTGAACGTTCTTTCGGACCAGGTTTTAGATTCTCGTATGGGACACCAAGAAATAAAGATCGCACAAGACTTTCACGAAACTGTAGCATTGTCATACGGCTTGTGTCATAATTAAATAAGCATTCACTATTGACACTTCAAATATCATCTCAAATGCCACCTTTTGATACCACTTTTAGGATCGTCTGAGGCATGTATAATATGTTGATAACTGATCAAATAAATCAATATCTTGTTTTCCTTTATTGATTCACACTCTTATCCTTCATGCAAATGAAAAGAATGAGTAAAAGATAATACTACGAAAAGAATATAAAAGAAAAAATTAAAATTTCGTTTCTTTATTTCATTGTTACTGTATAATACGTGTAACACAGAAAAAGACAGACTCAAGTACCTATTCAGTTCGATGTGATAAAAGACTTACCATGCGATGATACAAACAATAGAAAGAAAAAACAAATAGCTGCACATACTGAAAATATCAATGAGCGCATTTTGTCGAGCGTGGATATGCATGAAAATTAATATATTGAAGTTATTTTCCTCAGAAAATCGAATCGCCATGAAAGGGTTAATGTTTATATGAATTTGTTTCGAAACATTGATCGTTTTATAGAAGATTGATTTGAATTCAAAATTCATGTAAATCTTTTAGCTATGATCAAAGTAATTGCTACATTACTTCGAAATGCAGCTGATAATATTCATTTATATGATATAAAATTACGTTTTCTTGATGATTTAATTTTACTTTCATCTGCAAGTCGAGAAAATCGAAGGTAATAGAAAATTATAAATAGATATTTATTTTTTTTTAAATTGAATTTTTCTTTTTTTTTTTTTTAAGAACTATTTTACAAATGTCTGTTTGGCAAGATTATTTATTTGGTCTTGCTTATGTTTATCCAATAAATGAAATACAAATCGAAATAACTGATCGAGTTTTTGATTTATTAAAAGTTTTATTACATCATGCTATTAAATATGAATATGGTGGATGGCGTGTATGGATTGATACACTTTCGATTTTACATGGACGAGTAAATTAAAAATTTATTTATTTATATTATTATGATTATTTGTTTTCTTTTTTTCTATTTCTTAGGTAACTAAAGAAGATTATTATCGAAAAGTTAACAAAATTGTTGAAAGTATAAAAGATGATGATGAAAATGAAGTAAGTTTTTTTTTTTTTTATATAAATAATCGATTGTTAATTTTATTTATGATATATTTAGTCAAAAAGATCAGTTTCTCCAACAACACGTAGTGGTTCACAAACTTCAGCCGATGAACATACAGCTGCAACACCTACTAGTAAGTTAAATTCCAAGTTTTAAAACATTTTTTATTGATTATAATTATACTCAATAGTACTTTTCAAAATAAATTCTTAAGAACAATGATCAGATTATGTTTCAAGATCTATATTATTTAATCAGGGCGATTAGAACGTGTTTCTTAATTCTCACTGTTTGACTAAGAATTTTTATATTTAAACTATAACTAAAAGAATTTCAAGGTATTATTAAACAAAATCTGTCTTAAAGAATAAAACTCATTCCCATTAAAGCCCGACGGACTCTAGTCTTCTGAAAAATTTGTAGGATGCGCTAATCATTAAATATAAAACAAAAAAGTATTTTCAGGACGACTATCCAAATCCGATTAGAAATTTCATTGAGAACATCAAAGTACAGTTCGATCTCGGTCTGAAAATGTACAAATCCGCTTGTTAGAATCAATGACATGAGAAAAGAATTTTAAATAAATATGTATTATCTTTTAGAATCAACATCTAGTCGTCAAGTATTTAAGACAAATCAATTACCACCATTTTCAATATCTGAATTTAAATATTCTCCAATGCATATTCGTCTATTACATAGTGTATTTGATTCAATTGAAGTTGATGTTCGTTTATGGAGATCGTAAGTTATCAAAATTTTAATCTTTCATAATAACATTTCATTTTATTCTAGTGATTCAGCTAAATCAATAACGGAAGCAATTAATCATACAGATAATCAAATATTTTGTGCTAATGTTGTACATATTATATCTCAAATGGCAGATGTATTATGTAATGCATGTGGTGGTCTTTTACCTTTACTTGCAAGTGCAACATCAGCATCTGTATGTATTAATTTATTTGTAATTTATAATGTTCTGATTTTTTTTTTCTTTAGCATGAAATTGAATTATTAGAAAATACTGAAGGTTTATCACCTAAAGATGCATTAAAAGTTTTAAAACGTGCTATGGGTTTATCAGATTTATTTATACTTGCAAATAGTGGAAATTTTTCTGAACTTGAACAAGAAAAAAGTATGCCTAATGGTGGAATATTACGACAATGTCTTCGTTTATGTATGAAAATCTTTTGTTTTGTTTTTTTGATGAATATTTTTTTTTTTGAAAAATTTTTTTAGCAATGACAACTGCTGTTCGTCATTCTATGGAATGTCGTTTTCAAAAATTTGATACATCAAAAATATCGAATTTACTATTAACATCAAAAATAACAAATAAAGATCCACTTGAAGGTGTACTTGAATTAACTTATTTAACGAATACAAATGAAAATGATAATGAAAGTGATAATGAAAATGATGATATAGCAACATTAATTTCATCATTTATTAAAAATCCAGAATCAGTTTTACAAGAACTTGATATTCAACGTTTACGTGCTATTATCTATCGTGACGTGGTAAGACCAGATCGAAGTAAACCGAACAAAAACCTTGTCGTTGTCGTGGTAAATTAAGCATTATTTTCTTTTCTTATTATTCATTTTATGCTTTATATGTTTTCTGTATTCTATTAATGATATGTTTTTTTTTTGTTTGTGAAAACAAAATAATTATGTATGATATTAAAATTTTTGATTTTTTTTTTCTGCGTTTTATAGGATGATACAAAACAATCACAATTTTTAGCATTAGCTATTGTTTATTTTGCATCAGTACTTATGGTATCAAGATATCGAGATATAATTGAAACAAATCAAACAAATTTATCTCGACAAACATCAATTATAAGTGCAACATCTAGTATTCGACATGGTATAAATGGATAGATGATTATTCATTGTGAGAAACTTTTTTTTTTTTTAGGTTCGACTAGTGATACTTATGCAGATACGACTAGTACGAACGATTTGGCATTGATTACACCTTCAATTATTAATAATCAAGTAAATTTATTTTATTTTTTTTTTTTTTGTTGAAAAAAATGTGGATTTGTTTTTTTAGAAGAATACTGATGAATCAGCAATTATCTATCATAATAATAATGGAATTGATAAAATAAATTCACAATCAACTGATAAAAAATCAATGGATTTGAATAAGACAAGTGCTACTGCTACTCAATACGGTAAGTAGAATTATAACTGAGATGAAAAGATAATTGTAGAGATTAAATAATAAATTTTTCACAAATAATCGAACTTTCTATGATACATATCAATGTATTATGAGTCATTTTAGTTAAAACTTCATCTCTATTTCATTTCCTGATTCGACAAGAAAATACACAAAGCTATTATAAATTAAGGCAGGGATGTAACTAGTCTCGATTTTTGATGATCCGTACCGATTCTATTTGTGAATTGAGTGATATATAATTTTATTATAATTTTCGATCTTTTTTTTTGATTTATAGCAAGTATTGCCAGTATTCCTACTGGTGATCAAACAACAATAGATAAAAGTCAATTACCTGAATCAAAACTTCCCGATTATCCAAAAGCTAATTTTAATACAACTGAATCATCATCAGCAATGAATATAACTGAAAAATTAGAACGTGCATTATCTAATATTGCACCATTTTTACGTGATATATTTACTGAATTTTCACATATTCTTACAAAAACATTAGTTGGTTCACATGGACAAGAATTATTACCTAGTGGTTTACATGCTCTTAAACAAACAGCATCAGTTGTTGAACTTGTTATGCTTTTATGTTCACAAGAATGGCAAAATTCTCTTCAAGTAATATTCAAACTTTCATTCTACGAAGGCATCTTCTTCGATGTACACCTTTTCAGATTTGAATGATTTTTTTTTTGCACATAGTGTTCTAATAAAAAAATGCATCCCTATTAAGTGTTGAATAAGCTATCGAATTTTTATTTGAAACTTTGTATATATAGATAACTCAACTAGACTAACATGTATTGTTTGAAAACTTCATATCTCGAAGAGACTTTGTTCAAAATTTCTGAATTTTTTTCTATGGAAGTTATTCTAGTTGAGTTGTCTATAAGCGCAAAGTTTCAAATAAAAATCCGATAGTTTATTTAAATCTCAATAGGAGATTTTTAACAAGTGATTGGAAAGTTTTTAGATCCGATGTTTGTTCGTCTTTGACCCATTAGAAACTAAAAAGTTGGGATGATTATTTATATACCAGCTAATAGATTAGAAGCTATCCTACAAAATGCATTATTTGAAGTTTTTCTTACCTTTTAACAAAATACTCCAATTTTCGTTTTGTTTTTTTTCTAAAAATTCATTTTTGAAAAATCAACAACCGTTTAACATTGAAAGAAGTTCTTAGAAAAATTCTTTTAGCCTCACTTGCATTAAAACTACAGATTAGTTCAGTATTACATTTTGTGGAGATGTGTTAGCTCTACAAAATGGTGAATTCCAACAATTTTAAACATGTTCAAAAAGTGACTTATACGGTAAACGAAATCTGGCGGTGATCTATAGTTTTTGACTTATCAGAAATACTTTCTAACCGGTCGAAAGTGAACAAACATCTTTTCTAAAAATTTTTTGATCGTCCGCTATTCGAACACTATGTAATATTTAGAGGAAAAAAAACTCATTGAAATTGGAAAGAGACATCTGACGAGATTCTCTCATTAGTTTCTTTTCTTTTTGTTGTAGAAACATGCTGGCTTAGCTTTTATTGAATTAGTTAATGAAGGACGTTTACTATCTCATGCAAGTAAAGATCATGTTGTTAAAGTAGCTAATGAAGCAGATTTTATTCTTAATCGTATGCGTGCTGATGATATACGTAAAGCAAGTGATTTTGAACAATTATCAGCACAAACAACAGTTGAACGTAAATCTGAAGAACAATTATGTGAACATTTTATAACAGCAGCACGTCAACGACATCAAGTTATAGCAATACGTTTACAAGAAAAATTTTTAGCTATGATGATAAATGATAAAACAGCTTATTTAAATAATTCACGTCTATTTTGGAAATTAGATCCATGGGAAGATGATTTAAGACGACGACGACGTTTAGTACGTAATCCAAATGGTTCTACACATAATGAAGCAACACAAAAATCATCATTTAATGGTGTAAATGATGATTTAATAACATCTGCTATTCAAGAAGAAAATTTATTAAAACAATTAAAACATCAAAAAATACAAAATTTTAATCAAACAATAAATGATGAAGATGAAATGTTACAAGTTGATGAAAAAGATCTTGATCAAGATTTTTCTGGACCAATACGTTTTTCAACAGAATGTTCAGTAATTTGTGGTACAACTTTTATACATGGAACTTTAGCTATAACACATAATGCTATGTTATTTGATGCAAATGAATATGATGAAAATTATACAAATATTGATTCTAAAGTAAATCAATAAAAATTAAATTATTCAAAAATAATATATCGTTGTTACTTGTTTTTTCTACGATTTAGATGTTACCTTATATTGATAATATTCATGGAAAATGGCATTTTAATGAAATACGAGCCATATTTTCAAGAAGATATCTTTTACAAGATAAAGCTTTGGAAATATTTGTGTCGAATAGAAGTATGAATTAAATCGATAATTCTTCTTTTTTTTTTGGTTTATTTAAGTTCATTGAAAATTTTGCTTTAGGTGTAAAATTTATATATAACATCACTTTTGTTTAAGCGAGAATTGGTCTATCTCTTTATTCAATATTCTATAATAAATAGAATTTTTTTTTTGTATCGTTTCATTTCGATAGTTCCAATAACATCGAGGATGAGTAGAATTTAAATCATATTAATTGATGAAAATGAATAGATTTATTTGTCTGTAAACAGTATGACTGTCAATATGTATTTAATATTTATAACATTTTCGACTTTGAATCTAGTCACTATTGGCAACTATACAAATTCTTATCTTCTTTGAATCGGAACTACGTGCATTATGTAGATCTAAATGAGCTATGAACGCTTTAAAAAGAGTTCATTTTAACAAGAATAATTTCTTGTGAATGTTTCAATTCGATATTCTTATTTCATGATAGAAATATATCAAAAGACCTGAAACTTTCATAAAAAACCTATTCTTATTAACATTTGTCTCTACGCAAAGTTTGGAATCAAAATTCGGAAATCAGTTTTTCTATTACCACAGCATTCATTTAAAAAAAAATGCAATATCTCCGCAGCAATAAGCTAAGAACACGAATACTTTTCAGGATATTCGAAATTCATTTGGATCTGCATAGTCTCGACTCAAACCTTCGCATCAGAAATTGAATTGTTGTTTCGATATGTACGATAAATTAGTTTTCACATGTATTCAAGAGAATTAAATTTCTTTATAAAATGTCAATCACTGGATTCCATTTGAATAATTGAAAGTTTATTGATATACATTTTTTCTTTTTGATAATGCACTTTTCTAAATTTGTATATTGAATTTTTATTTTAGCAAGTGTTATGTTTGCATTTACTGATCGTTCAATTGTCAAAAAAGTTGTAAACTTTTTACCTCGAGTTGGTGTTGGTGGTCGTTATGGATTACCACAACAACGGTTAGATTATTGTTTTTATTTTCATTAATTATTGATATTATTATTTATTTTATTAGACGAACATCATTAGCATCACCAAAACAATTATTTCGTTCAGCAAATATGACTCAACGATGGCAAAGACGAGAAATTTCAAATTTTGAATATCTTATGTATCTTAATACAATTTCAGGTATTATATAAAGAAGATTAAATTTAAATGAAATATCTTTTTTTTTTTTTACAATAAATTTATTTAGGTCGAACATTTCAAGATTTAAATCAATATCCAATATTTCCATGGGTTATAGCTGATTATGAAAGTGAAAAACTTGATTTAAATTCTCCATCAACATATCGAGATTTATCAAAAGTAAATTAAAAATTATCTATTTTTTTGATGATTTTAATCTATTGTTGATTTTTCTTTAGCCCATTGGAGCATTAAATCCTACAAGAAAATCATTTTTTATTGAACGTTATAATCATTGGGAATCTGATACAATTCCACCATTTCATTATGGTACACATTATTCAACAGCTGCATTTACACTTAGTTGGCTTATTCGACTTGTTAGTTGAAATATATATATTTAATTAATCAAATAGTTTGTTTTTTTTGTTTGTTTTATTTTTAGGAACCATTTACAACATTTTATTTAAATTTACAAGAAGGAAAATTTGATCATGCTAATCGACTATTTCATTCAATTCCTATATCATGGCAAAATTGTCAACGTGATTCATCGGATGTTAAAGAATTAATACCAGAATTTTTTTCTCTACCTGAAATGTTAACAAATTGTAATCATTATAAATTAGGACGAACTGAAGATGGAATGAAAGTTGATGATGTTATTTTACCTAAATGGGCACAAACACCAGAAGATTTTATTCGAATTAATCGAGCGGTAAACAAAAAAACCACAAACAAATAGAATATTTAAGAATAAAATCAATTTAAAAAAAAATTTCTCTATTTTTAGGCATTAGAATCTGAATTTGTTTCATGTCATTTACATCATTGGATTGATTTAATTTTTGGTTATAAACAAAGAGGTTTGTTTATTATTAATATCATTTTATATTTTTTCTAATATTTGATATTTCAGGACCTGAAGCAATTCGTGCTGTTAATGTTTTCTATTATTTAACATATGAAGGTACAGTTAATCTTGATTCAATAACAAATCCAACAGATCGTGCTGCTGTTGAAACACAAATAAGAAATTTTGGTCAAGTACCATCACAACTTTTAACTGAACCACATCCACCAAGAAATTCAGCAATGAATTTAGTAAGATGAACAAAAAAAACCAAGCTTTTTTTTTTTTAAATAATTTTTTTTAAACTTTTTTAGACTCCAATGATGTATAATGTGTAAGTAGTTTTTGTCCAAAAACATAAAAATTAAATAAATAATTTAAATATTTTATTTTCAGTACACCAGAAGATGTATCAATGATAATGAAATTTTCATCAAATGCACCAATTATTCATGTTTCAGCTAATACATATCCAACACTTCCGGTACAAGCTGTTGTTACAATTAGTAATAAACATGATTTTTCAATAAATAAATATCATCCAAATGCTGGTACATCAACACAAACTTATGCAGAATCATCACCAACACCAACTCATCAACAAACACAATTACCATTAAGCATGGATTCAATTTTAGGTTAGATTCAGTAGTCCAATATCTTTCCTATAACTAATACTATCTCTAGATTTGGATAGAAGACTACCCTGACACAGAGTTCTTGCACTTTCCATACACATCAACTAACCATAAGAGTAGGTGTACATCATAATATAGTTGGCATGTTATCGGACGAGTGATTCGAGACAAACAGCCGCTAGTGACTTGTTGACCGATGATACCAAGGTTGATACATGTCGCATAGCATAGTTCCTCTGTTTAGTTAGAATCAGAATTGTTTGCTGGCTCATATTTTTCTTCGAGAATTTAGGATTACATAACTATTAGTAAATCTTATGAAAAAATTCAACATTATGTCTGCACTATGACAAAATAGCAGTTATAGCACAGTCCTTAGTTTGTGGCTTGGAATAACTTAAATTTCATATTACTCTAGAGCACTGGATTCTATACAAAATGAGATATTATCATAAGTTGAAATCTCATCTATGTGTTTCTACTAAAGAGTTTCTATGGAAATTGGCATTCGAGGGGAAACAGTAGGGACTTCAGTGTTGAAATTTTTTGAATGTCATGCTAAAGTAAGTAGCATACTTTATAGAGCAAACTTTGTTTTAAAAAATCTGATCCATTAAAAATTATTTCGCATTTTAAATTTCATAGTTTTTAATCGAAATACAAAATTGACTTAAATAGTATTCCGTACAATCAATATTTTGAAATAATTTGATCATAGTTGTTCAATCTTATTTCTAGAAGGAAATTCTTACTACACTTCCGAAACAAGTTTGATTTTATGCCCGTAGGTTATGTTAAATTTAATTCTATCGATAATTCAATATAAATTCATAACGGTAGATACATAAATCATCAATATTTGAAAGAGTTATACTTAAAAAGAAAATTTTTCATATCCAAAAGTTGTCAAACTTTGTAGATGAATAACAACAAGAATGTTTTTTTTTATTAATCTGATATTAAAAAGAATTTTAATTCGAACTTTTCTTTTTTTTTTTCAGTATCAAATGTAAACTTAAATCGTCGTCATTTGGGTGATCATTTTGATGAACGTATTCAACAACGACATCAAAGTTTTGTTGTTACTGCTGATAATCGTTTTATAATATCAACTGGTTATTGGGATAAAAGTTTTCGTGTACAAAATACTGATATGGCTAAAATTACACAAGTACTCTATGGTCATTTTGATATTGTTACATGTGTATGTCGTTCGGAAATAACTATTGCTGGAAATTGTTTTCTTGCAACTGGTTCACGTGATTGTACTGTTTGTATTTGGATATGGAATGGAACAAAAGGTGCAATTGTTGATCGTGAATATCCAAATCAAGGTTATAATTAAATTTAATTTAGAAAAAAATTATGATTTGTTATTTTTTGTTTTGTCTAGAAATAAATCCATCACCAGCAGCAATATTAACTGGTCATGATACAGAAATAACATGTTTATGGATATCAGCTGAACTTGGTATTGTTTTAAGTGGTAGTGAAAAAAGTCTTGTACTTCAACATACACTTAATGGTGATATATTACGTTCATTTGAAAATCCATCGAAAATATCTACACCACGTCTATTATCACCATCAAATGATGGTGATATTATTGTTTGTTATGATCGTTCAAAATTATGTCTATATACATTAAATGGAAAATTAATGCGACAAGCAATATTTGAAGATGAAACTATTCAAGTAAAAGAAAAAAAGAAAGTCAAAGAGAAAAAAAATATTAAATTTTAAACTTTTTAGTGTATGGCGTTAAATAATGATAGTCAATATACGGTTATTGGTGGTGATCGAGGTTTTGTACAAATCATTCGAACACATGATTTACAACCTGTTTATGCTTATCCACAATGTGATGCTAGTATTCGTTCATTGGCAATAACTCATGATCAAAAGTAAAGAAAAAAAAAACAAATTCTTTTGAAACTTTTATAATAGATAGAAACTATTTTTTAAATCTACTATTAGTAAAAATTTCGCTAATTTTTCTTTAGCTCGAGTTGAGCTATTCTGAAAATATCGATGGTTATAGAAGTTTTTTTAAACGAAGCGATATACAATATAAAAGTTGTTCAGTTTTTAACTAGCTTTAAGAATATCAGATCATCTCTTAACAAGCATAACTATATTAAATAACATACTGAAAATAGTATTCGTTATAAAATTTCATCCTTTTTTTTTCAGAAAATCGCAGTTTGAGTCAGAATGAAAGCAAACAGATATTCATCATTACTATCGAATTCTTTATCAAGTGGTGCATTTTTCACTAGAATCCAATGAAAAAAAGTTGAAAACTTTTTCTATCCCAAAAAAATAAAAGTTGAATTTTTGATTAAGTAAATACTCCATTTTATTCAGAATTCGATGCTAATTTCAAATCTATGTCATACTTATGAGAAAAAAAATAATGCGAAATTTTAAATCAAATTGTGTTACTATAAACGAGTTTCATCAAAGATCGAGGTGATCTTTGAACGCATTATCTTGGCTCGTAGACATCAAGTATTTGTAAAATTTTCAGCAAAATCGACCTCCAAAAAAAAAAACTAACAAATGAGTTTGTTCGTAAATATATATTTTGTCTTTGTTTAATTTAGATATATCATGGCTGGTCTTTCTACAGGTTGTTTGATTGTGTTTAATGTTAATTTTAACGTTCTTAATCAACCACGACGTGAGGCTGGAACATCTACTGCAAATGTTTAATAAAATGTTTTGTTTTTTGTTTTTTCGTAGTGTAATTTTTTTTTTCTTCGTTTTTGACTATTAATATTTTAACTTTTTTCTTTCTCTGCGCTTTCATTTGAGGCTTTTTTCGTTTCTTTCTTATAGACATTCCAAATTCTTTGCTTCTATATGGTTCTTTATAAAAGAAGATCCATAGTTTCCTTTTTGTTTTGAATAGGTGAGAACGGCTACTACATGAAGTAGTATTTTTCTTTTTTGTTTGAGTTTTTGGGTGGGAAATAAGAAAGCCCCAGTGATATTCATTTTTGTTGTTGTTTATCGTATTTATCTAGGTTAATTTGTAACGTGCTTGCTAAAAAAAAAACGATGCAAATATTTAACAAATATCATGATCTTAACTATTCCTTTTGTCTGTGCATTTTCTTTTTACTTATGCTTATCAACGGAGTTCACCGCATTCCTTTTTTTTTCTTGTATTTCTTGAGCTTTAAAAAAAAAACAATAAAACAATTTAATAACTATTTCACATATCTCTACATATGAAATAAAAAATTCTTTGCAATAATCAAATAGTTATCTGTATAATTGGTTTTAGATTATTGTGGTAAATAGACAAGTCAAATAATGACAGAAGTATCTGGTAAATGAATTTATAGATAATACATCATTAAATGAAATAATAATAATATACAATCAGAGTACTTTGTGTACACAAGAAAATTTATTCAATAATGAGAAAGAGAATAGAATTTGAAAATGAATTTGAATTGCATCAGATGTATTAAAGAAATAGGTTTTTTTTTAATGTTACTGTATATATGTATAGCTGAAGACTGAACAGCGTATCACGATTTGTTTTGGACTAAAGACTTATCGAAAAGCAATTTGACAAAATGTTCTTTGCTTTTTCGGTCTTCGAAATAAGTCTACAGAAATTTCAACATATTGAGTGTATGGATCAAAATATTGTATTATTTCTGAATGCAGGTTCAACATTGCTCTAGGATTTATAGTCAGATTTGTCGATATTTTTTTAGAGGCCGAAGGACCTAAAACTTCGGCAGAAAGTCCGAAAATCCTCATAGAAAGTGTTTTCATCTTTGGAGTGTTATAAGTGGTGATCCAACCCTTCCCACGAGTCCCACTCCAATCCTATTCATCTCGCAACGATATTGTCTGTTCGTTTTTCTTCCATTTTCGACCCAAGATAGGCAAATGGTGTTTCAAAATACGGTTTTTGTCCAAAGTTACCAGGCACACGGGAAAAATTGACAGAAAATCCGACATCTAGGGAAGGGAGAAAGCCTCCTCCTAGTCGAGAATCCATTTTCTAGTTTAGGAGTTATCAATCGACCTTTTAGTGGTGTAAAAATTAAGTTTTGACGGAGAAAGTTGAATTTTTTTTATAGCAATAGTCTCCTTTACTGCATACATTATATTACCGATTTTTTATGTATAGAATTAAAGACGAGATTGTTCTTTACAAAATGATATAAGAATGAAGAGTTTGCGATCCAATCTGTAGACTTCGAAAAGAATAGTTCATAAATTTTAAGCCGAAAGTCATACCCAGAAAGAACACAAAATTCTGATATTAGTCAAATGCACTCAAATTTCCATAGCCTCCTTTAAGAAGTTGAAAAATGAACGAACATTTTGCTAAATTACTTTTCGATAATCTACCAGTAAATTCAGTCATAAATTGAAAAAAACAGAACTTTTCAAACAATTGTTTCTCAAAACTGTTGAGATTCTCTCTAAAATTTGAAATCTCATTTTCTTTAAAGGTGATCAAAAGAAACAATATGTCCTTGTACCAGGTGGTGCTGGTTTTATTGGTAGTCATTGTGTTATTGAACTTGTTACAGCTGGTTATACACCAATTGCAGTAGATAATGAATGTAATTCATCAAGAGGTTCGATTAAAAAATATATAGGAGAAAAGTTCGATCCGATTTAGAAATTTATTTTTAGAATGTTTGAAACGAGTTGAACAAATTATTGGATGTAAAATAATCAGTTATAAAATTGATTGTCTTGATCTTGAAAGTTTACGAGATATTTTTAAAAAATATCCAATTTATGCAATTATCAATTGTGCTGCACTTAAATCTGTTGGTGAATCAGTACAAAAACCAATTTTATACTATAAAAATAATATCGGTTGTTTACTTAATTTACTTACGGTAATTGTTTTTTAATAATAAAAAATATTTATTACTAGCGAGAACCCGTGTATACTGCACAGCAGCTTTTTCTTCTTTAATATACGACTTCAAACCTTTAACCTTTCGCTCAGCAACAGACACGCAGACACTCGACATTGTATACATAAAAGTCCTACGGTGTGATATCCCTATATCGCTTTTAGTCATGTAGCCTTGCGGTCTTATCTTTCTTGTAGTTCTTGCAGCCTTACTCCCTTATAGCGTTCCCCCCTTATAGCCTTCCCTCTTATTGCCTTACTCCTTTACAGCCTTACCCATTTATGGCCTTACTCCTTATAGCCTTACCACCTTAGGGTGATCTCCTCTTTATAGTCGTCCCCCTTATAGTTTTCCTCTCTTATAACCTTACTTCCTTATAGCCTTACCCCCTTATAAGCTTTTTGACCTTCAACCTTTGGCCCAGCACGGACAGATACGCACGCAGACACTGAACACTATACATATATAGATTGTTTATTCAATATCTTTTAGTGTATGGAAGAATTTAATGTTAAAAATTTTCTTTTTTCATCATCAGCTACTGTTTATGGTACACCAAAATATTTACCACTGGATGAAAAACATCCATGTATTGGTGATGCTATTACTAATCCATATGGTAAAAGTAAATATATTTGTGAACATATTCTTAAAGATACAATGGTTGCTCATCCTGTCCGTATTTTAAACTCGAAGCAAACTTTTTTTTTATTGTTTTTAGTTCTTTTAGGAATGGAATATAATTCTTTTACGTTATTTTAATCCAGTTGGCGCTCATAAAACAGGTTTAATTGGTGAAAATCCTATTGGTAAACCAAATAATCTTATGCCATATATTGCACAAGTGGTTGTTGGTCGTTTACCATATGTTAATATTTTTGGTACTGATTATAATACTCCAGATGGGACAGGTAAATACAAGAAAAAAATAATCATTTATCTTCTAATCATTAAAAAGTGATTGAATTTTATATAGGTGTTCGAGATTATATACATGTTGTTGATGTAGCTATGGGTCACATTGCAGCAATGAAACAATTTGAAATAAATTGTGGTTTAAAGGTTAGGATTGAGAATGATTTAAATATTTTTATTTATTCTTTTTTTGCTTTTTTTTTTAATTTAGATTTATAATCTTGGTACTGGTAAAGGTTATTCTGTACGAGAAATGATTAAAGCATTAGAAAAAGCATCAGGCAAAACAATAGCTTATAAAGAATGTTCTCGACGTCCAGGTGATCTTGCAACTGTTTATGCCGATCCGACACTAGCAGCTCAAGAACTTGGATGGACAGCTCAACGAAATTTAGATGAAATGTGTACGTTAGATTTTGTTGTTTAATAATAGATTAAACATTGTACTTTTTTTTATAGGCGAAGATTTATGGCGCTGGCAGTCAAATAATCCGAATGGATTTCACTAGGAACTCATATATAGTATTAATTTTACGCATCTATAAGAGTCAATTTTTTAAAATTTCTTTTTATCTCTCTATTTAGTCCATATTTGATTTTAATTATTTGATTGTGTTTTAGATGAGTAATATTTACATTCAAGAACCAGCTACTCGTGGAAAAGTTGTTTTAGATACAACAGTTGGTGATATTGAAATTGTACGGGGTTCTTCTTTTTCTTTTTTTTACAAAGGGCACTACAAAAGTGTTCTTGTCGGCTCTTTAGAGAAATATTTATAGGCTTGGTCCTGGTGTTGTTTTTCAAAGTACTACTTCTCATCAACAATGCATTGATACATTTGATTCAGATAGAATTTGAGATCATTTTTTTAGAAGACATTAATGGCTGCTTAAAGCGTGTGTAACATTGAGTGGCTGTTGTTGAGACTTACTTTGTACAGTTGATATTTCAGTTTTAGTAATAGAAAGGAGTTACACAGGTTTAGATCTGTGGAATAGGATTATGTGTGCTCAATTCTTTCAGAGTCCAGAATGTTTATGATCTCGTGGTTTTTATTAATTTATTTTCTGATACAATTCGAAAACTTGTGTTAGACAGTTATTGACAGACTATATTCTGTACAAAACAATAGCATGGTACACTTGTCTAAACTTTTATTCTGATAAATTTTGAGATCGCTAGCGATAATATTGAATACAAGATTGAAATTAGTCTATATAAATCTCTTCAGTAAATGAGTAAACGATTGAACATGGAACTACTTTCAGTCATCGATGAGCTAATCATCTATTTATCGAGCATAAAACTTTGTAGAACTTCAAAAACAAATAGAAAAATCTGCTGGAGAAATTATTTTCCGAATATTTTCTATTAATTCGTATGTCCAGTGAGGACCATCTTTGATGATCGTTTGAGACAACACCAGTTGTATCTGCATAAAATAGCAGCTAAAAGACGATCTGAATTTTTTCGGTTGGAATTCATGAAGCCTAGTGCGAATCATTCGATCTAAATCCCAGCATGTCTCTAATAGAAGGGTACGGTTTTTCGTGTGCGTCAAATCAATTTTCTGTTCATATAAAATCATAGGTCGAAATCGATCTCGTGAGATATTTTAAAAATAATGTCTGACAAATCTGCAAGAAATGTAAGAATAAGATGTTATGCAAAACCTAGATGTCTCACATTTTGCACATTATCCTAAATATGTCTATGCATTATAGTAGAATACTTGACTTCAATATACAGCATTTAGGACAGCCGAACAAAAAAAAAAACTTTTGTAGTGCCCTATGTATTAATTAAATCTGAAATATCAATATTGTTTTATTTCTTAGGAACTTTTCTCTAAAGAATGTCCATTAGCATGTCGAAATTTTCTTCAATTATGTATGGATGGTTATTATGATGGTACAGTTTTTTATCGAGTTGTACCAAATTTTATTGCACAAGGTGGCGATCCAACTGGTACAGGTGAAGGAGGTGAATCAGCAACTGGTGCATTCTTTCCAGTAAATATTTATTAAAATTTTATTTTATTTTATTTCTATAAAAACAAAATTTTAGGATGAATTTCATACACGTTTACGTTTTAATCGTCGTGGTCTTGTTGGTATGGTTAATCATGGACCAAATACAAATGCTAGTGAATTCTTTTTTACATTGGGTAGTGCTCCGGAACTCGATAAAAAGAATACATTATTTGGCAAAGTTGTTGGTAATACATTATTTAATATGTTGAAATTAGGTGAAGGAGAAATTATTGGTGAAACACCTGTACATAAACATAAAATAATCAAAGCAGAGGTTAGAAATGAAAAAGAAAAAAGAAAATATAGTTTTGAAAAATTTTATTTTATATACAAATAGATTATATCAAATCCATTTGATAATATGGTATCTCGTCCTCGAGCTAAACCACAAATGATTGATGATGATGAAACGAATAAAAAATCTAAAGAAACCGTACATGCTAAAGCAATCAAGTAGAATTTTTCTATTAGAATAAAAACAAGAATTTAAAATTCTTTGTCTTTTTTTTTCTTTTGTATTAGAAATTATGGTCTTCTTTCATTTGGAAATGAAGCTGAAGAAGATGAAGAAGAAATAACAAAAATTTCAATGGTATAAATATATATTTTACTTTTTTTTTTCCTGGTTACTAAATTTAATATTTATAGACATTTAAACAAAAAGGAACTGGAAAAAGTGCACATGATTTAACTGATGATTCAACATTAAGTAAAAATACAGTTCTATTAGTTGAATATAATGAAGAAAGTGATGAAGAATTACCTATAGAAAAACAAAATTTTAAATTAAAAGAAAAAAGTGATGGAGATTTTGATAAAGAAGAACTTGATCGTGTACGACAAAAATTTAATGAAAAAAGATTATCTAAACAAGACAAGAAAAAAGCAATTCAACTTAATATTGATGATGATGATGATGATAATCAAGAAGATATTTCATCGTCAAAATCGTAAATATAAAAATAAAACAAAAATGATTTGATTAATTTGATATTTTTCTTTTCGAATAGAAATGAAAATGTTAAATTTGAAATTGAACGATTAAAAAAAGAACTAAAACAATCAAAAAAATCATCAATACCTAGCAAATCATCAGAAGATATCGTCCAAGAAGAAACAGAACGTAAGTAATTTTACAGTGAAAAGTTATGAAAATTGGGGATAACCAGTCTGATTACACCCGGTGTTTTATTATTATAAATTCTCTTCATTTAATCTTTTTCGTCAACAAAGAAACCTAATTTTGATTCTAATTTGTTTTTCATGTACATTAGAAAATCTACAGATCTTCTCAAATGTCAATATATTTGAAAATATTCTATCGTTTGTTCGAAAATACCATATTTCCATAGAAACTTATTTGTTCAAGATGAGAGTCTTAGGACATGCTAATATAGGGTGAAATTCCACTAAGAAAGTGCTTCTAGGTCAACAAGAAATGGCCAGCAGAATGAGTCCTCTTAGGGTTTTTTCGATCTTACCAAGACCTATTTGTAAGCAAACTATTAGTTCGAAATTTGATAATTACTTGAGAATGTTTCTTTGCAAGATTCAGTCGATTGAGATAATTGGATGTCTTAAGTAATTTCTAAAGGATACATGAGGTTATTTATCACATTTTTAATTAATAATCGTATTTCATGACTTTATTTCAAATTTTAGCTGCACCTTCTCCTACTCAACCAGTTACTGCAAATATGTCTGTATTAATGGATGAACTGATGGCAGGTACAAGACGAAATAAAAAGAAAAATCAAAGTAATGATTCGAATTCCAGAGAATTTCAAGTTTGTTCATCAATTTTTGTTTTGCTGGAATAAAATATTCGAATTTTCATATTCATTTTTAGACACTTAATCTATTAGAAAAATTTCGTACAAAACTTCATGCTGCTAATAATGAACCAACTAATGAACTTGTAAATGAAACAAAATTAGAACAAATAGCTGATAAAGTTCCAGATCAAATTTTACAACATACTTTTGTATCTGAACAACTTTTAGATAATGTTCAAGATATTTATACCAATGCTGATTTATTAACTGTTTATGATCCAAGAAATCCTATGACTAAACGACGACGAGATGAAAGTAGTATGTTACTTCATCAAAAAAAACATAAAGGACGTTCATAGAACAATATTATTGGTTCTTTTTTTTTTCATCTGTGTATTATGTAATTTCTGTTGTTGATGATATAAAATAAATCGTTCGATATAAAATACTAGAAGCGAATTATTTATCTTTATTCTATTTAGATAAATTATGCAACATTCATGTTCACGTACATGCCAACATGTTGATGAAACAAGTGTTGGTCAATGGAATTTGTATATGAAAATTGATAAATATAATTTACAATGTTATAATGAAAAACATGATGGTTCAGGTAAAGATGTATTTCGAGCATGGGACGAACGACTTGATCGATCTAAAGTATATTATATTCGATTTATTCAAATAAAATACCAACGATGTCTTTTTTTTGTTTTTGAAAGATCGTTGAAAGTGATGATGAACAAGAATTACTTTTCAGTATACCATTTAATGGTGCTGTGAAAATGACTGGTCTATGTGTTATTGGTGAAAATGGTCCATCACATCCGAATATAGTTAAATTGTATGTGAATAAATTATTTCAATATAAGTAGGAAATATGATTTATATATATATATGAATAGATGGAGTAATTTACCTGAATTACGTTTTGATAATGCACGTGGAAAAGCTCATCAAGAAATTGCACTTACATATGATCCGTCAGGTACATTAGCTTATCAAGTCAGGTAAATATCTTCATTCTTACAAAAATTTGCTTTATCAAATATCCATTCTAGTCCATCACATTTCTCACGTGTAACACATTTATCTTTATATTTCC